ATTGATCCGTTTCACTATTTCCGCTTATACGATGAGTGGTATCTGCATTATAATAACCCTGTAATAAAAATAAAAAAAATGCATTAATAAACAACAACCACAACAATAATAATAATAATAATAACAGTAACAACAACAACAACAACAACGACAACAATAATAGTAATAATTATAAGATTATTATTATTTTTTTTTTTTTGTCAGTGGAAAGTGTCCTGATGCCATTTCTAACCTTAGGTGACTGGGCGGGACCCGGAAAGAAATGTGTAAACGCCGGAAATACTACTACTACTACTACTACTACTACTACTACTAATAATAATAATAATAAGAAGCGCTTCGGGAGAACTGGATTTGAAAGCAAGTTTGTAGAGCTCCAGAACACTGCCATTATTTATTTAGCCAGGATTTCCCGAAGTTGTGAAGAGTCTTGTTGAGACCATGACTCAAGGACAGAATTTCTTTTTATTACTTGAATGTGCAACACCAACATAATAATAATAATAATAATAATAATAATAATAATAATAATAATAATAATGTGACGTTTAAACATAATATCAGTTTGTGTCAACCATACGTATTCGAACCTAAAAGAAACAAACGCAACAAATAAATAAATGCCTAAAAGAATTGGCGGGAAAAAAACGGAAGGTGTTGGACAGAAAATGATTATGTCTTATATTTCTTTTCTAAAAAGAAAGAAAGAAGGAAGGAACGAAAAGAAGAAGAAGAAGAAGAAGAAGAAGAAGAAGAAGAAGAAGAAGAAGAAGAATATAATCGAGTCCATCTCGGCAGGCCTGCAGTCGTTGATGGCAGCTAAATCTAAACGCTATTTAAAAACAAGCTACGTCACGCGGCACGTGACATCATCGCGATCAAATATCTCATATGAATGTTGTAAGACATGCCCAAACCGTTGGGGAGAAGAATTACGACGATGATTTGGTGCCTCAACTTTTAAAGGAAAACGTTTAATGGACCGAATTTCCATCCGAGATTCACTGCTCAAGTGGAACAAAACGAGCGGTTTTTGAAAAGAAAGATCGCAGTCTTTGAAAAATGGATGGTTTCCAAATAATTTGGAGCGTAAAAGTTCGAGGGGAAAATCAAAAGCCGGTCTGCATCCGAAGAGCGTGATGCTATGCAGCGAGTGAGACTGGAAAAGCATTGTGTATTAGGAGCTCTTTCCGTCAACACAGACGTAGAAGTACTGATCAAAGTTGGATCAATTGAAGGCAGCAGCCAATTAAATACTTGCGGAATTGACCAACCTGAAGGGCGCCGTCTTCTATTAAAACAACGCCAAACCTAATACTTTATTGCAGACCCAGTAGAATAATGATAGAAGTTCAATGTCCAAATATATAAAGATCACGCCCACCTGGAAATTTATCTTCGGATTACAAATTATTTCGATCCCTATAAAATGTCCTTAATGTGAAGAACTTTAATTCTCTGTAAGCATGTAAAAACCACTTAGACTAGTTTATAACAATGAAAAATACCAAGATTTTTTAATCATTTCACTCCAAGAGAGGCAACAGAGCCACTAACACACATGGGGTTAGTGATTATGAAAGAATACAAGAAAAAAACATTACCAAGGGCGATAACAATAAAAGAGCATAATTTAAGACGACGTACAGTAACGATTGACACTGAATTTAAATTTTTGAAAATCAAACTTGGCAGGTAATTAAGAAGTCGGAAGAAAGTTCCACAAGCGTGAAGTGCGAGAAAAGAAACTTAGCATTTATGGTTAAATCTAGCTATTTCAACTGTAAATTTTGTTGCTAATCTAGTACTGAACTTATATTCATAAAGTCTAGATACCATAGAAGAGAGTAATATTTGTATGAGAATACAAATATCTGGCACAAGGCCAATAGTAGGGTCGGTGAAGGCTGGTCTTCAATTTGTTTTATCTTAAACCTAACCAGCCACCGTAATACCATTAAGTCTCTATGAAGCCTAAAGCCCTTCCCATATGTATAATTTGCCTGGAGGGGTGGAGAATAAAAAAGAAGGAAAGCTACATACGGCGGTGGGAAAGTGATTGAAGACGAGATAACAGGTTATAACCACAAATCTCTGTCAACGTTATTTATAGAGGATACTCATATTTGAGTAGACGCTCTATTATTTAAACAGTATATATTTTTTCCTCTAACAGCCTGAACATTTGAGAAATCTTATTGAAGAAAAATATGCGCTCTTCAGCAGGATTCGAACCGAAGTCCCTCTTGGCAGGAGAAAGCGTCGTTATATCCGACGCGCTTATACTGACTCACTTACGAAATGCCTCACCCAAAGCAAAGTTGAATAGTACCTTACAAAAGCAAATCTTTCTCCGACTCTCGAAACATTTATATCTTCCTAGTTTCGTATCCTAACATGTACAAAGTAATTTCTAAAGAAGTAGTGGGTTTTTTATTAATTAATCAGACATTTTATTACTTAAAAGTTATTTATAGTGGATGCCCATATTTGAGTAGACGCTCCGTTTATTTATTAAACTCTATATTTATTTATTTTCATTTGCCAGCCTGAATATTCGAGAAATCTTACTAAAGAAAAATATGTGCTCTCTGACAGGATTCGAACATGCTGCAAGCCCTGGAAGGAGAAACCTGTCGTTAGATACGACATGATTATCCCGATTCAGCTTTATGTACTTCCAGGTGGTGCAAGATCTCACTAGATCAATTATGACTGATAAATGAGTGCGAACTTCACTGGGTGCGCCATATTTTTGGCTTTGTGTCACATCTAAGCTTCGCTTAGAATATCATTATACCGACCCAGGTATGAAGAGCATCCCTCCCATCAAGCAAAGTTGAAAAGTGCCTTATATGATTTTAATAAATTTACATGCAAATATTTGAATAGTACTTTTGAACACTACTTACATTTTTCTGGCTATTGTCCTCATCTTTGTCGCCATATTTATCACAACGCTTCGACCGTTGTAAGCTCCAGCCTTCTTCAGGTGGTTGGAATGTCGAACTGAACCTTTTATTTCGCTCGCTGAGGGAGACAATTCTAGTTCCACGTGCCATGTTTAATGGATGTCAGTTATCAGTTATCTCCTGTTAATTCCCCTCTCCGAGTTCTCCACCACATTAACCAGGTATTAAACTCACACTATTTGGGTCCTGTCACTGGATCTAACTAGAACGGTCTACCCCAGCGAGCGAAATAAAAGGTTCAGTTCGATATTCCAACCACCTGAAGAAAGCCGGAGCGTACAACGGCCGAAACGTTGTCATAAATATGTTAACAACTATGAGGACAATAGTGCGAATAATGTAAATAGGGCACATAATAGCTCATCTCAGAAATATAGACAGTGCTTTGAAATTTATTGAAATAATCGCTAAGGCCTTTCTTTCCAAGCCAGTACGTTTGTTTAATAATGGGTGATATTTTAGATAAAGAAAGAACGAAAGAAATAAAAATGTGTTTGTGAGATTAAAGTAGATACTGAATGAACAAAAAAAACAACTGTCACTATGTTAACTAAAGATCACAATAAATAATTTCAAGTAATCGTTACAAATCCTTGCCTTTGTAGACGTTAATCAATGTTTTTTAATGGCTTACTGAAAATCAGGGCACGACAAAATCCGGAATTAATACTTATTATTTACATTCTAATATCCTTGTTTGGGTTGACTTTCCCTACAGGGAATTAGAATAACCACATGACAGCTATCAAGTTTCAGGAATACACACAGGGATCGTTACAGAGGAAAGACGCTTACACGAGGACCTGCGACCAGTTCCTAGGCCAAAGGACCAGCTCCAGACGAAGCGAATCACAGAACTGTTCTAATGAATCAGATAACAGTTATCTGCGTTAATAATGGACCCCTCTAGTAAGGCACGCTACATATTGTATGAAGTGGAGGACATATATCGGTATTAGCTTTTCTAATAATTATAGATGTTTTTTATCGCAATAACATGCTTCTAAGCCTTTTTCTTAACTTATATACTCCTACACTTTCATCTTTGTTGATATTAGAGTCTCCGCGCCCTTGTAGGTGATTAATTATTTCCTACTCTACAACCTCTTTCTTACAGACGTCGCTATTTCCATGGAAAGTGTTCAGACAAATTGCACTATTTAGTCCTACCAGTCCTAAACTTCACGGCTATGATCCGCCATGCCACCATGATGACTTTCGTTTTCACTTAGTGAGATGTAAGTTTCACTCACGCAGATGCTTCCTACGGACCACTCACCTGTGGAACCGTTTCCTAAGAGGTTGGTTCCCCGATTACTAGAATCTTAACCTCTTCAAGACTACACTCCTTAGTTCCATCGGTCCTAACATTCACGGTTAAGACCCATCATGCCACTTATATTGTAGCGAACTACCCTCATTCCCTTTGTGTTTGTTTTTGAGATGTAAGTTCTACTTTCGTGGAACCGATTCCCGGGAGGTTGCTTCCCCGATCACTACAATCTTAATCTGTTCAAGTCTAGGGTTGACCGTTCCACACATATCCGCATTAGCTGGGCCTCTTACTTTGTAACCAACTACATCGAGTGGCTCTTGGGCCTTGTACAGTGTGAACATCATTGGGATGCGTTTCTAGTGAAGAATGCTTAGAATTCTATAAACAGAAAATATGAGATAGAAGGGGGAAAAACGAACACCAAAGGAACATACACTTAGAATCAAAAACAGACATTTGTAATTCCAAAAAAAACATATTGAGGAAAAGAATTCCATTCTCGACAGAGTTCAAAGGCATCTCTGCTTCCTTTTGGGTCATGAATTGTTTCCCACCAGACAACCCCTTTCTCACAGACGAGACGTCGCAAGCCTCTCGCTACTCTATCGTTATTTCCATGTTAACCGTTATCTTCCACCTATATCCGTCTCTGTGATATTTTAATCAGGAGTTGCATAGCGTGAATGTCACCGTAAAAAAAACATCACACCGTTTCGGCCTTTGTGTCATATGGTCTTCAAGTATTTCTCGAT